TGCATTTAATTTCTACTTCAATTTTGAAAGTTGAATAGAATTAAATATCTTAGCCTTTATATTTAAATACTGGCCAATAAAATGCAATACATTTTTAATTACGGATCTACTGACCTCTTGTAGTAGTTTGTGGCACTTAAGCGCTAGCGGTGAGAAATCACTGTCAGTGTCTCAAATATACGTAACGACTCGGGGCGCAACAGTAATCTGCGAATATATTTAGTTATTTGACATTTAAGATTAGTTACTATTTTTTTTACCCTGTTTCAGAACTAAATTGTGAGTTATGGGACTATATTATATTTGATATGCCAAGAAAGTTTTTTAGGCATATTAGAGATTACTAGTCAGTATATTATAGTGACGTATTGGTTGGTTTGTTTGTATTGGGAATACGAAACTTACACTGAATTAATTGAACGTAAATTACATGATGTTTATATCTCTATAAACTTACAATTCAATACTGAAACTACTTATTTTCATGCATAGTTATGGCTAAAAGCCGATATTGTGGATATTAGAGCTGTTCTTGAAGAAGTGATAGTGCCCTTTTTATTTTTCCTTGTTCAAACAGGTTAATTAAAATTATCAATTTCATATCAGTAAAAAGTAAAATGCCTTCAAAACAACGTAAAATTGCTGTTATGGGATACAGATCAGTAGGTTAGTAAAAGAAGGATATATTGTCTTTATGTTTTATACAAACTATATGCGTTTTAGGAAAATCATCCTTGAGCATCCAATTTGTTGAAGGACAGTTTGTTGACTCTTATGATCCCACAATAGAAAACAGTTAAGTTGATTAGTAAGTATTTATTATATTTCTTTATAGTGACATTTTTTTCTAGCATTTACAAAATCCACTAGAATAAATTCTCAAGAATATGAATTAAAATTAGTTGATACAGCTGGACAAGATGAATATTCTATTTTTCCGTCTCAATACAGCATTGATGTTCATGGTTATGTTTTAGTTTATAGCATAACAAGTACAAAATCTTTTGAAGTTATTAAAGTAATTTATGAAAAATTACTAGATATAACAGGAAAATTACAGTAAGTGTTCAAAATAATACAGCTTATAAGTTACAATAGTTTTCTTGTTAGTGTCCCAATTGTACTAGTTGGTAATAAAACCGATCTACACATGGAAAGAATGATATCAACTGAAGAAGGCAGAAAACTTGCAGAAGACTGGAATGCTGCTTTTCTAGAAGCTTCAGCCAAGCAAAACACAGTAAGTGTAGTGATTTAAAGCACTAGGATTCATAAGAATATGAAAATGACTCTTGTAGGGGTTAGTTTAATAAGTTTTGTAAACTTATTTTTTCTATTATTCTTTACACTTACTTTAGTTACTCATGACGTTTAGAATCACTACAGTTAAACACAATAATTTTGATAGTCAAACCTGACAATTTTTGGCATTTTTTTTCCAGTATTTTTGTATTTTCCCACTATTATCAACATATTTCATATTGAATGAGGTTCATTTTTTTTCTTATGAATTATAAATTCTTGTATATCTAAGAAAACCAGATTTCAGAATATGAGTTGTATACCTTCATTCATTCAATATGAAACATTAATATTAATGGACAAATTAAAAAAATTGGCAAAAATGTCCAAGTTTGACTACCAAATAATTGTGTTTGTTTGGAATGATAAATGTTATGAATTATTAGAATAAGTACATATAAGGAAAACTGGTTTTTTCAAAAAATTTACTAAATTTCGTTATTGAGGCCATTTTCATACTATTATGGATACCTTATTTTTCTAAACAGATATTTCAGCTTAACATTCTTAGTTGATCTAGATTTGATACTAGTGAGAACATTTCATATTCAGTTATATAACTTCTAATTTATTGTTATAGTCTGTTTCAGATATTTTCTATACATTACTAATGGAAATTGAAAAAGCAGATTCAAAATCAAATGAAAAGTCCAATTGTTCTGTTTCATAAAATTCTGAAATTAAGGATCAGAGAGAATTTGTAAAACTGTTACTTACATGCTGTGCAAACAAAAACTTACAATTTATTATTTAAATACACTTACATTTTTTGTAAATATTTTTTGTGGTTCTTTTTATTTGTTATGTAAATCTTAATTAGATAAACATATCTCTTAATTATTTTTAATATTTACTTAAGATACATGTACATTATTGAATTTGTAAATATTTGGTGAGTTTGAATAGGTAGTAAAATACATTTGATGAAGTACAATGATAGAAATATGAAATGTTCATATTTTATTTTTGTTGTATTCATAGTAATAGAACTGTCTAACAAATGCTGCTCTGGATATGATTTTAAATTAATTCCTAGGTAACAATTTTCTCACATTTTAAAAAGTGTTGCAGCAGAGTAAATTCTGTTTTCTATGTGTAAAATAAAAATACGTTTTCCTAACAGTCCTTTATTGTGTAATTGTAAATGATTTTAGCAAAATACAAAATGAGAAGGCAATTGGTGGAAGCTATACTTGCACTTTTCTTCGATTAAGAAGAAAATATATCAGTTCCTATTATCATTTCAAAAGTTGAAATTTATTTAAATTTTTATATTCACACTCAAACACTCCCAAACGCTGCATTTAATTTCTACTTCAATTTCTTTTTAAATGCATGAAAAAATATTACCTGCTATATAAAATTTTCTGTAGGAACACAGTTACTTAATTATTTGTCGTATTAATTGAAGGAAGAAAAAATATATATAAAACAAAGCGAAAATTTTTGAGCAATAATTTGTGCAAAGTGGCATCACAATTTTCTTAAAATTAAAAATGATGGCTACTCAACAGCTAGCGAAGTTTAGCTAACATAAAAACAATACTTAGAGTATTGCACTGTTTTTTGATTTCTGTATGTAAAAAGTTTATTTAATGCAATATTAAAAATCACAATAAACTCGGCAGTTGGAATGACTAATGGGTCGTTCAAAATTTAGTATAAGTTTTTTAATTTCAATCATATTTTATCCAATATATGAAAATTAATAGCTGAACTTGGCTACCAATAGTAGCAGTCCTGTGGTAAAATATGCCAATGACATGTAAAATACTGTTTTATACACAATGTTAAGTCACACCACATTTCTTACGTATTAAAATTAGCAACCAACGTTAACTGAGTTAATAGGACTTTTTTATTTCTTTGTCTTTGAAGATTTTTTACCACTACCTTTATCCTTTTGTGGCTTTGTTTCCTTTGTTTTTTTAGACTCAACATTTTCGGCAGTACCTTGAGACGGACTTTGTGTAGCTTGTGTTGCAGGTTCAGGTTCCTTTTCAAGAACTATTTGTTTAGTCTCAGTTTCAACAGTTTTTTCTGTTTCTGCAGGAATAACACTTTCTGGCTTGCTAATTTCCTGCTGAATATTTGATGACTGACTCTTTTCTAGTGAACCCTCCATGTGGGTCTGAACAACCTCAGGGGCAGTTTGTCCTGCTTGCTCACTTTGTTGTGTCTGAGAGTTAGTTTCATTTTTTTTTGTATCACTTTGCATATTTATTTCTGGAGTTGATAAAGATACAACTTTGCTTTCATTTAACAATTGTAGATGTTCTGAACTAGCTAGTTTTGAATCCAGCTCTGCAGAATTAGTAGAAACAGTTGAAACATTTGCTTTTGTTGGTTCGGTAAGTACTGGTTCTTCAGTTTTAATTTCTGTTGAAGTAAGATTACTTTGCTCAAGTATTTCCGACTTCTCGGGTTGAACTGTAACGGGACTGACCATTTTTACCTCTGTCTTCTGCTCAACTTCAATGTTTTTTTCCGCTTCATTTGGTTCAGGTTTGGCCATTTTTACCTCTAGTTTTTGTTCGCTTTCGATCGTTTTCACTTCTTTTAATTCTATTACTTTTTCTTCTACTTTTGGTTCCTTGTCATGTACCTTTGGTTCGGTTTCGGTTTTAATTTCTTCTACCTTTGGTTTACTTTCAAATTTATTCACTTCTAGTTTCGACTCATTTTCATTTTCTTTCTCCTCTTTGGGTTCACTTTCAATTTTTTTTTGTTCTACTTTTGGCTCATTTTCGATTTTTTTCTCTTCTACTTTTGTTTCATTTCCGACCCTTTTCTCTTCTACTTTTGCTTCAGTTGTTTCATTTTTTTTATCTTCACCACCAACTACCTTTTCTTCTACCATAACTTCAGTTTCAACTGTTTTTACTGGAACTTCCACAATTTTTTCACTTAGTAATATTAAAGGTGAAGATTCAGGTGAAGTTTCTTGTTTTCCTACAGACTCTACTTTTAGAGATTCAAGTATTTCAGTTGTCTGCTTATCAGCAACTTCAAGACTGGAACTAATAATGTCTTCTGTCAATTTCTCTTTTGCAACTTCATCTAACATTTTTGTTTCAGAAACTGGTGTTTGAAGAGTCCTCTGTAAAGACTGTTCTGAAATGAATTTATCTTCTCCCTGTACTAGCCCTTCATTTGATTTTTCTGTTTCTGTAAAAATATATTTAGGTATTGATCTGCCATCAATTCTGAAAATTGCCCAAGCCTCTTTAACGATTATGTTATGAGGCGGAAGCGGTCACTGTAAAAGCGTTGCGGTTAATATTGTCTGGCATGGCAAATATGTAATAGGTAAATACTGAAATATTTTAATTAAAGAAAATATATGTAATAAGTTCAGCACATTATAGGTGAGATTTATAACATGAGTAACATGCAAAGTTATGAGTACATTATTTATAAACACTTTTGGTAAAGCACAAGGCATTTACATATACTTATAAAGCACTACACGGCTTATTCAAGACACCCTTAATGCAGATTTATCCAACTGACCTTTTTTCTCTAATTCATTTCTACTTTGTTTAGCACTGTTATCATCTGTATCTAAAAAAATGCATTTGCTCTTTATTTTTTCTGTTAAAAAAATGATTTCAAACATACCGTTACTTGCGTTTGGAGCACCTGCCAATGTTTCACATATTTTGTTCCAGATATTACCGAAAGCATCTCTATTCATGTAATCGATGTTACCTATTTCCCATCCTTGTCTTCGAAGTTGATCTTCTAAAGCAGATTGCTCGGCAGATCTCGGTTCTCCTAAAGTCAGTCTAGCAAATGCCCCAGCAAATCCACCCTATAATCAACAGAAACTAAAATTTTTACAATGTAGTGGAACAAATTGCAAAAATTACATAAAAATTACACTTGGGTAATTAAATAGTAGCAAAATAAAACATCTATTAATGTTGCATTGTCGATATTTCTATTAATTCATTTGCGTAACACTAGATTTTATAGTTTGGTACTAAAATTTTTGTTAAGCTGCGACGAGTTTGAGTTAAATAATTTCAAACGAAAAAGAGTATACTGAGTTTTAGTAGTTACTTACTTCAACTGTTTCACCTGCTCCGCTCGGATGTATAGCATTTTCTTTGGTTACAGAGCTAGCTGCTTCGCAAAATGGGCGTTCAAACTCATTGGCAACACATTCGGAAGAAATGCTAGTGTTACTATAGGTGTTAGGTTGGGGAATAGGAACGACGACCTTATCAATGTTCGGACTTACATTTTCATCGAAATTGTTACTATTTCGATTGTTACTTTCTATACAGCTATTGTTAGAATGCGATATATTTATTTCGTTGTTATCATAAGTAGGAATACTAGGAAAATTCAAATATTCGGATTCGTTATTGCTAATACTCGTATAGACAGTTTCGTTTGTTGAAACATTAATTTCTTCAGAACAATACTCGACGGGAAAAGAGTGACTAGGTTCTCTTGAGCTATTGGGACCAATATTAAATGAAATTGTTATACTCTCGCTAGGATTACACTCAGCTATTTTGTTTTCTAAATTATTTTGTTCTGTCGCTAAGTTATAATGTTGAAAATTGTCCCAAGATTGGTTGTTATTTTCAGAATAGTTTTCAACATTGAGATCATGATTTTGAATAGAAATATTTTGACTGTTATCGATATTAATAGTTTCTTCCAGCTGTTTTTTATCATATTCTTCCCACGGATCCCAAACAACTTGTTGAGTAGGTTCATTAGTATTTTGAAATTGTTTAGGACTGGAATAATGAGATAGGCTGCTATGTGCAGAAGGCTGCTTGCTTGGTGCCTAAACAAAAGGCATGCAAAAAAGAAACAGATATTTACAGCTGTTAGTACAAAATCATACACAAACATGCTAAATTCAAACATTACTGACTTTTTATGAACATATATCGATTTATGTTGTTTGTATCGTATTTCATAGATACATATTTAAATTACTTTTTAACAAACACGTATGCAAGTGTTAAAGGTTTTAATAAACACAGTGGACAATAAATAAGTTTTATAAGCAGTCCCATGCAGGTATGCACACATTACATTAAATCACACCGAAATTATTCTAGAAATGATTAGTATATATATTTAAAAACCATGAAATTTCCGGTCATTTTTCATTTTAGAGCTTAACTATGGTAATTAGAGAAAAAAATCAAAGAGAAAGAAAGAAAACTCTCACACTTTTCTAACACCGAAAGAAGAAAACAAAATTTCTACTAGTACATATTTTTTGTACTTTGAGCTTCCCTGTATTTTTTGACTTCCTTTTGCTGACAGAAATTGTAAATAATATCTATTTTTTATCCTAATGTCTCGCTTATCAATAATGTGTAGTAGGTGTAATAGGAAATAAAAAAAACCTTTAAATCTTTAATAACAACGCTTAATTTCAAATAACTGATTTCAGATATTTTCAGGCAAAAACAATATATGAACAATTTCGTTAGATAAGTGTAAGTTGATTAATGAGTTCATATAGCAATTTTACGGGGCTGTGGTGCAGTTACTAACTGTTTAATTATTAGGTCTTTAAAAATTAAAATAGTTTGTGCTTTTATCTTGTTAAGGCCATTAATTTTTTTATTATTATCATTTACTGCAACTGTATATCCTGACAGAATATATTAAATCCCGCATCATGCTGCATGCTCATGTATATTTTACATATACATATATTTATTTTGCCTGACGGAATTTAATATCCAAAACTAAGTTTGTTTTAATAATAATAATCAACGATGTAGGTTTAAGAAGTAACACATTTAACAATTGAAAGTTTATAAATTATGAATATTTTTATATTCAGAATACTCTTTTTCATATCATTCTCGGTTTTATCTGTATTAACCTTGCAACACACATATTATGTAAAAAAAAAATGTTTTATTTGCTGCCTTATTTATCGCCCACAGTGTACTGAAAAGCACAGTCAAAAGATAATGTATAACAAAATTTGTTTAAATTCTTTAATTTGATAATCGATATATTTTTATATTACGACCAGTGTTCGATTTTTATTAATTTTTTTCTCGCTTCATAATATTAATGAAGATTTGAGATATATATATCTTTTTAATTCTCAATGAAAATAACATATAAAAAATGACGAACACTCGATCGATAAAAAAATATAACACGGAATGCTAACATAAAGAGATGCTATATGGAGACTAAAACTTTACTATTTTTTTCACTAAGTACAATAAACGTACTTATCTAAAAAAAAACATGCAGCACGTAAAAAAAGATCTAATGCACAACCCACCTTTTCCAAAACTTACATTTCCTGTCAAATCCTTAGTCTCATATGTATGCTTTTAGATTACGAAAATGATATCTTATCAATTATTGTAAAATATCGTTAAATTGAAATTAAAGGAATAAACAACTCTTACCATCTCAGTAGATAACTGTGGGTGAATTGCAGAGCAGAAAATGTTCCACCAACGTTGTAGAAGACTAGTCAAATGTACCAAATCTGGGCTTGGTCTCACTTGTCTAGTTTCAGGATCGAATATTTGCAACCAAGGTTTTGTTTGGGCAATAAAATGAACTATTTTCACGTTGGAACCAAACCTTCAGCAAAAGGATATCATTTAAAACACTACTCTTTCATTTCAAGAATATTTATTTCACTTACTGTTTAAAAGCTGGCAGATACGAGTAACATGCGGTTGAGCACATATTATAAATAAAAGGTAAATGCTTGTTAATATCCTTATAAGCCCAGTCGGAAAAGTACAAGTTAAGAAGCCCTTGATCTCCTCCTAGCGTTGCGGTTAATATTGTCTGGCATGGCAAATATGTAATAGGTAAATACTGAAATATTTTAATTAAAGAAAATATATGTAATAAGTTCAGCACATTATAGGTGAGATTTATAACATGAGTAACATGCAAAGTTATGAGTACATTATTTNTTTGAAATCAAGACAGTTAATTTTGTCTCTTCTGGTGTTCTAGACGTATATTTTTAAGAGAAATTAAGAAATTAAGAAGAAGCTGCTTATCTTATACGCTTAATTACTTTTCGAAGTCATTAAATCTTTACAAAAAAAATGTCAATGAAAAAAGGTCATACCTTTTATTAACCGCTATTTTTCCTATGGAAAAATTGAATAATTCTACCACATTTACATGGTTTCTTAAATATAACCTGTACTATTAAAAGGCTTCTACATATTTATACTTACCACTCATTTTGAATTAGTAAAATATAAATCCTTTGATTTAAGAAAATGCCCTTATAGCAATCTACCGCACAAGTGCACCGTTCAAGCGCATTAGACACCACACACACACCATCCACTAAACTATTCAAAACGAAATGAACAATAAGAAAAGAACGTCAATTGAACAACCACAGAATGCACAGAATGATTAGAACTAAAAAAAAAGTTTTTTTTTCCTACAATGTTTATTGTGGTGCCACACTGTGGAAAATAGACAAATTAGTATTAAATAATACAGATAACGCCAAATATTTTACAGAAATTTATGGTACGTCTATGGTACAACACCGTAAAATAAATAAAAAATAAAACACTACTACGCTGTTTTGTCGAAATGTTTATTTTATTGTACTTTTTTATTATCATTTATCACTTTATACGACGTATTTTAAATTAAAAGAAAACTTATGTGTAATAAAGAATAAATATAATAATTTGTAATTGTATTTACGTTAATGGCACGTGATACATTACCGCTTTACTAGCATCAACATTCAACAGTACGACATTTTCGACTAGCTTGCAGAATTATTTTTAAAGTTTAACGCGAATGTGTCTTTTACAAACGTAATTAACAAGACAACCATTGATAAATGAAACTTTCATAATGTGATCTGTCGCGTAAATGTAACATTATTCAAATTTAAGAAAGAGTGTGGTAAGTTTTATTATTTGCAGTCAGCACCAATACGGTTTAGTTTTGTTTGTTTGGAAGAAGGGTAAGCAAATTTGATCCATTTTGACTAACTTTAAAGGCGTTTTTCCTTCATAATATTTAAATTTCTTGTGCGTTTTAGCAGGGCATTGTTACTACTTTTTTATAAAATTTAGAAGTCTAAAACCTGATTTTTTGAATTTATTGTGAATTCTTTTTATATTGTAATCTATTTCTCATGCATCAGGAATATCTTAATTCAATAAGCAATATTAATGTATAATTTACAAAAAACATCTATGAATTATATTTCAAAAATTATTTTTCTTATGGGTCCTGTTGATGTGGAATAAATAATTAACTAATGTGTTGTTGTCATTATTGATAATAGTTATTCATAAAAAAAAAGTTGAAAATAAACGGTTTTATGGATATTTTAGATGGCACGTGTTGATGCAGCTGAAAAAGAAGCAAGTGAAGTATTACATTCACTTTTATCTGTAGAAAGAATTGAGAAACATGAGCAAGTTCTTGTAGATAGAAATGCAAATCAGTCTCCTGCATCTCACAATTTTCAAAATTCTACAACAAATACAGAAACCATTGAAACAGATACTCAAATACAGTGGCACACTCCTGTTGCAATATCAACACATTCTATCTTTTCAACTATAGATCCAAACAACCAATTTCAGCATGCTGTTGACCAACAGGTAAATATTGTTTTAAAGTATATGCTACAATAGAGAATACTTTGAAATACATATTATCAATAATAATGATTTGTATAGGTGATTTGGGAAGGTCACACCATACAAGTTGAAGAGGATCCACAAAATATTAATACAATATATACGACTGTTCCCTCTAATACAGTGGTAGAAATGTCACCTTCAAAAAAGGCTAAGCCTAAACCATGCTTAAAAAATAATAGTATAAGGAAAAAGATACTAGTGAAAAAGAAAAAGAAAGACTTTGCTCCTACAGAACAAGTAAATCGTGAAAGCACAAAATTGGAAGAAAGTGCAGTGCAGGTAAAAGAACGTTTCAAACGTGGCTGTGAGTGCCAAGATGAAAGTTGTTTTAGAGGATTAAATCCAGAAAGTGTTTATAGGCATCGCCTTAACATAGCAGAATTAACAAAAGCAGAGCATGATATGTATCTTATGGGAGTAACTATGGCTTGCCTGGCTAATCCTGATCAGACTGTAAGGCATAAAGAAAGAAGAAGATTGAGAGCTCAGTATGTTTATCAGGGACGGCGAGTTTGTTTAGATGCCTTTCTATACCTAGAAAATTGTACACATTATCAACTTAAAAGAATTAGAAAACATGTAATGACTCATGGTGTAGCACCTCGTATACATGGAAATCATGGGAAAAAGCCGCATAATACCTTTTCTTTAGATATTTATCGACATGCAACTGAATTTTTAAAGCAATATCTTGAAACACATACTGGCGAAACAGGGATAACAAATTCTAAACAAATTATTCAATTACCTTGGGACATAACAAGAAAAAATTTGCACGATGCATACAAAGAGTATGGACAAATTTTAGAACCAGGAATAAAGTTAATGGGTTATTCCACTTTTAGGCATTTTATGAAGGAACAGTTTCCACATGTCAAGTTTTGCAAAGTAGAACCTAAGTGCAATGCCTTTCATCAACAGTCCCAACAACAGCAACAGCAGCAACAACAACAACAACAGCAGCATCACCAGCAACAAAATTCTCAATTACAACAAACTGAACATCAACAAGATGCTATACAAATACAAAGCCACCATCACCTTTTGCAAAAACAACAGCAATTACAGACTATTGATAAAAGAACTGAACAAATGACTAAACCTCTAATAGGTAGTACAGAAGTCCAACAAGTAATTCCTTTAGTAATAGCTCCTAACGACGGAAGTACAGCACAACATCATTCTCAAGCATTTCTAGTCACACCTATTTCTCAAATTATACCTAGTGGAAATATTACGACAGCACCACAAAACCCTGCTACTCATACTTCTTCGAACACGTTTTCATATCAAATTGCAAACACCGGGTATGTCATTAATGAACATGGAAATTTGGTTTCACCAATGCCAAATACTCAACAGCATACACCGTATACCTTCAATAGAATCTAGACTTGGCTTATTCATTATGGTGATTATAATGAAATATTTTGTAAAATTATTTTGTGACAAGCGCAACTTTCTATTGTTATGTCACAGTCAGTGTATCTGGAAATGATTCACTGAAATGGTCAATGCCATATAGGAATAAACGCGAACCGAAAGAAGAGCTTTAAAAACTAAAACTATAAGAGGAGAAAACGTACGAAAGAAAATACAACAATCGGTATTTTACAATTTGTATAGATATCTGAATATTGTGAGAGAGGTCGTTTCATCTACCTTTGATAACAAATAAAAATATTTTTTAGGATTATTACTTTTATGTCGTTCTCCTATACGTTTATTAAAAAAATATAGCAACTACAGTAAATTAAATAAAAAAAACATTAAATTTGTTACTTAGTGACAACTGAAAATATTCTTGATATTTATTACATTTACTGTGAAATGTGAAAACTATATTTTCTTAAAAGTGACGAAATATGGAAAGGAAAATGTTTAAAACCAATATTTTTATGTTTCCACTTCTTTAATCTCCAAAAACTATCAAATTAAGATTACACATTCCATTTAATACTGAAAAGATAAGTATGTATATATGTATGCATTAAATCAGTATGTACATTGCAATATCATTCGAGAAATTTGTACAACTAAAAGGGAATGTTCAAGTACCTACTTAAAGAGTGAAGTAAATACGAAAAAACCACTTAAGCATTATGAGGGAGAGAATCAAGTACTGGTAGTGGTTTAGCAACTCCAATGCGTACAATTCCTTTAGGCGCGCCTTTTAGAGCCTGTACTGCTTGATCTAATGAAGCATTTTCTAATATGGTGTCGTTTACGAAAAGCAATCGGTCGCCAGGAATTAGTCTCCCATCCATTTGAGCAACACCTCCAGGTACTAAGCTGCGTATTACAATCACGGTGTCATTTGGATCAATGGGATCCTGATAATCCAAAATTGAAAATCCAAGTCCTCTTTCGCCTTTTACTAATTCAATTACTTGTGGTTCTGAACTCCACATTGCTAAGCCAGTTAGTGGCTCTAAAGACCTATAAAAAAGACAATCTTTGACGTCTAGTTAAAAGTTCTAGCAGCAAATACTTCACCTAGATTTCATTTTGCTTAAAGTGCCCTCGGAAGTACCAGAAACCCCTATGCTTGTAGTTAGCGAACCATCCGATTTGGCTTTGACAAGTCTATCAGAGGCAGGAAACAGATTTTGCAAACTTCCTCCTAGAGCATTGCCTCTTTGACAAAACGGAGAATCTTGCAAAATTTTAAAATTGTTTTTATCTCCGTTATTAGGACGGCCACAAACCATTCTTACATGAATTGGTAATTCTTTTAAAATGCTTACTACTTCATGGTGATTCATACCAAGCAGCCTATGACCATTAACTTCTAAAAGCTCATCTCCGGAGCGTAATTTTCCGTTCTTTCCTACAGGCCCTTCTGGTAATATGGATCTTATATAATGGTGTGGTCGTACTTCCTGTCCATCTTCTACATCTACTGTTCCTTCTAAACTAATACCCAGACCACCCCTTTCTCCAAATTTAGTCAGTTGAGCAATAACAATTTCAAAATTTTGGCCAATAATTTCTTTCCACTTCTTTTTGATAGCCTCTGCTTCAGTTGGGGTTAACTCCACGGGCTCTTGCGATGTTTGGGCTAAATTTACAAATTCGTTCCTTGTTTCTATGGGCTTCAGCAAATCCTGCTTCATTCCTGAAGTAGAGATCTCCCTTTTTCCTGAAATTCTACAAAAGGAGCGTTACTTAGGTCTTTAAAAACTAGACTAATTAGGCATTTAAAAGAGATGAATTTTTTCCTGTATTTTATATTTTTTTAAAAAATGGAATTTTTATTAGTCATACTTTTTTATTTTTGACTGCTTATTTTTTAATTAAGTAAATTAGTTTTATTACCGTTGATTCTGATTTGAATTACAAAATGTCGTGGCGGCAATAGCTTGTTGTAACTGTTCAAACTTTGGTCCATGTAAATATCTTTCTAAACACAACTTAACTTCACTTCCACAGCTTCTTAACACTTCAACTGCTTGTAAGTTGGTATATCCTTGCAAGGAACGACCATCTACTTCTACTATCCTATCATTCACTTGAATCTTTTTACTCAAGTCAGCAGCACTTCCTTTACTTATGCTCTTAATAAAAATTCCTGATAATTCCTCCTTTTCACATACATATCCTGCTATTGTGATTCCCAAACCGTTGTGGTCTTTTCTTAGCTCTACAGTAAACTTCTCCATTTCTGGTACTTTTGCTTCAATGTTAAGTGAAGAAAGGGTCCCAGGAGTTGATCCTAATGCTGAATTAGTTGGAGAAATGTTACTGTTATTTATTGTATTAGCTTCTATAATATTGTTTTTGAAAATAGGCGAATATTTGTGTTGTATTAAATATTGATCTAATTCATTTGGATCATTTAGAAGTCGTGTAGGAACCAATGGTGCAGAAGAACTAAGATATTTATAATCTGATGACAAGGAAAATTCTGCAGGACGGGCCACCACTAATCTTACATGGGTTCCAGATTGTCTCAGAACCGTTGCTACTTGTTCAGAGCCCATTTCATGTAAATTCACATCTCCAATCTAAACAGAAATTATTTACAGTAGTATTTTTTAAACTTCTTTTTAAATTAGCTGGGTAAAAGTCTACCTGTAGAATGTGATCACCACTTTGAAGTCTTCCATCTCGATCAGCAACACCACCTGGTAAAATAGTCTTAACTACAACTCCCATAGTTCTAACTCCAACAATACCAAATCCTAATCCAGTTCCATCATTAATTAGATCAATGGCTTCTACTTGAGCCCATTCTGAATTTAAAATTGCATCAGAACCTGCTTTAGAAGTATCACTAATTGCTGATGGTGACCGATAAATATTCTCCTCTTCGTCAGGACCGTGAGAGTTCTACATTTTTGAACAATAAACAACCATATTGACATAATCTTTTAATTAAGTAATAAATAGTAAATACCTTTGTAGAAAGAAAGTCTGGTGTTAAAGACTTTGCAGTTCTGAGTAAAACATTGTCCTCGTTGAAAGCATGAAGTTGGGGAGATCCTGGTGATACTGGAGCAGAGGGTACTCTTTGTTCATCAAAATCATGAGGATGATGATAATCTTCTGCATAACCAGGGTCGAAAAGTTCTACAGGCGGTACATTTAATGCTAACTCCCCTGTTAACGTTATATCAAAATCTACTGGTAAAATTGAAGGATGTTGACCCAATTGTTGGTTAAGTTCATATAGAGAATCTTGTATAGTAACAACACTTCTAAATATTGGGTTTTCTAAAACTGATACCAGAACGTTAATCTCTCGATTTGCATTCCCTTGAAGTTTTAAATCGTCCAATTCATTTATTGTTAATTTAATGTCTTCTAACAATTGTAGAGCACTTGAAATATCAGCATTTAAATGCATATTTGTGATTATATATAGACAACACACAACTTAAACGACACACAAAAGCAGCAAAATATTTACTGCAGCACTGCGAATGTCAAAACTATCCATTTATCTATAAGTACAATATAAATATGACGGATCATAATTAATTACCATTGATTACTATATTACCATAAAAACCACAAACATACTGCGCATACTGTCATAGACAAATACCACCACAGAATACCATCACAAACATAAACATGTAACACTTATAAATTCTTTGGTACTTAGGTTACACAGTAGGCAACCCAAACATCAGAACTGACAATTAATTACATACCTATTTCTTGCTTTTCTTCAGAAATACCAAAATTTGAAATAATAATTTATTATCTATTCATTACTGATTGGGACAATCAAATTATAAACAAATGGTAATTCAAACAATTTATATTTCAAAACCATTAGATATCTGCAGAAGTCGAATTTTTAATTTTAAAGTGAAACTGTGATTAAAATTTTTTCGTTTTATTTGAATTAACACTTGAAATGTCGCATAATGTTGTTAAAAAGCCCGCATTATTTTTATCTATATTTTAT